TTCTTCCCGGCCCAGGGATTGAACCCACATCTCCTGCGTCTTCTGCATTGCAGGCGGATTCTTTACCTACTGAGCCATCAAGGAAGCCCCTGTGATGTCTCTTAAGTCCATGCTAATAAGTTGGTAATTATTTCCAAAGAAAGCAAGAAATGCTGTGATTCACACTTACTTCCATCTTTCCTGTAGCTCTCTGCTGAGTGGCCTAAGAAGTCATCTGAAACCACCTAGTCAGGACTCAGGAAATTTTAAGGTTGTAGCTCTTCAGAATGACTCTGAAGGTCTCTGCTACACATTTTGTGAAAAAACAAAATTCAAATGAATACATTTCAAAAATCTTGTGGGTTTTACTGAACAATTCACGAATGGGCACCATCTAATCTAGCAAACAGAAAGGAGCTCCTAGAAGCTGTTGAAACTGACGTTTTTTAGGCAGAAGAGGGAGGGAACAGGAAGCTAACACTAGGCAAAAAAGTTATGGCAAGGTCACTTTCTTGAGGGGCCAGCAGGGTTTATCAGACAGATGACCCATTTAGTGTTGGTCAGATTATCAAAAGACTCATTTAAGATTCCATTTCTGGGATTGCCTCTGCTGTAATTAAGTCAACATTTGGTGACATTAGCATTTAGGGGTTCCATTATGGACTATACTCTTGTTTTTAACAACATGGAAATACTTAGTCTCGAAGAAAATAAACCATCAAGTTCAAACTTTCTAAAAAAAGCCATCCCCTTTTCTTCAGAGCTATCACAGCTATAAATTCTAAAGAGGCCCAATTGTTAAGTATAAGTAAATTATAGCTAGTTGTTACTTATGGGCTACATGAGTAATTTATACGTGCTGTACACACACATATACACACATATGCAACAGGACTCCTTTTACGTAATGTTTACTTGGAGTTAAAAGATACTTTAAAATTAGAGGATTACAGAAAATGTTTCTTAGCTTTTATGACAACATTGGACACATTTATTTGCATCACTGGCCAGGGACAAAAACTCTTAAGGAGAAATCCTGAGGCACTTTATCAACAACACATATCATGACAATGTTTTCAGAGGTCCACTGTGGTGAAAGTGAAGAAAAATCTGCACTTTTTTTTGGTGGAATGAAAACTGAATCAGTGATGGGATACAGAGATAACACTGCTACAACTCAGAACCTCCTGCTCATCATAAAGATGCACGTGGGAAACGTTACTGACATTTCAAATACTCCATTAAGTCACCTGAACAAAACTGTACATCAAGGAAATTGTGAAAAGGCTTCTCAGTGATTTCCAGTGAAAACATTCTTTATTGGTAAGCACACACTTGAAACTTTCTTGATTACGCACATCATGCAAAATTGATGTCACACATGGTTGTTTATTCTAACAATCTCTTCTGACGGGATTATAAATTTTTAAAAGTTACAGTGACCGCAACAGTAAAAAGAATTCAGGAGAACTCTGAAGGAGTCAAACACTTTGTAGAACACGTGAAAGTAATGTTCATCCCTCTGGCTGTTTAATTCTCCCTCCCAACGAGAATCTATTTTGGAAAACTGTTATATACAAGAACGGCAGTCATTCATGTATGTGCATCTATATGCACTCCACCTGATTAAAAAGGAACTACAAGAATAAAACTTCAAATAATTTTACAGGTTTTCTCCATTTTGTTAATCCCAAACAGGGCAATGCCCTTATTTAAAATGTTCACCTGTTTCAGGAGATTATTTACATATAGATATGACTCTGCTCCTTGAAAACGTAGCTTATACCTGGTCATCCTTCTGTATGGAGACTGACTTTTTGAACTGTCACTTCTGCATTCTCCAGGTTGTTTTCAACCAGCGGGCAGGAACAGCGCTTCCTATTCTGAGAAGTCTCAGGAATATGCTGCTGCTTTTTGACACTGAGCACAAGTTTTCTCTGCGGTGGTGAGGCCAACACTTGCAGGTGGGTGGGTGTGAGAGCCCACCCACTGTCCGCCTCACATAGGCAAATTCAGCTCCTTGAAGAGCCCTCAGTGAAACGTGACATCCAAAGCTCCTACTGGCACATTCAACTGGCAGAGTGATTTTCCAGAGACCAAGAAGTGAGTGCTGCCGTTAACAAAGACACAGAAGTGCAGGAGTGGCTTTGGAAAGAGGGTGGAAGAATTCAAAGGAGTGTGGCCATGGCTGGGAGTGGCAGCGAGGGCTCCAAGGAGGTGAGGGGTGTGGCAGAGAACAGCTATGTGGCTGTGATGACATGGTTCCTGGCAAACAGGACCTTTTAAAAAGTTCAAGAGGAAATGAGGCCTGTGCTGAGGGAAAGTGAAGGGAGAGGGATTCCAGCAAATTAGTGGCAGGAAGCTTAGCACTGTGACCGCAGCTGTGTAGAAAGAAAGGGGCGTGAGAGAAACTCAAGGCTCTCAGCTGAAGAGATTTCTAAGTGGTGTGGCAGGGGCAGCCTGCTTTCTTCTTACTGATTATAGTCTAATGTGAGAAAAAATAAGTTGAGGGAAGGACTGTTAAAAAAAAAAAAAGGAAACAGGACTTGATGACTTGAAAATCTTTAGCTTGTGGCAAAGACATTAAAATTCAAAGATTCACTGTCAGGTAGGCCTGCTCTAGGGAGAGATGAGACTGTGGCCTACTACCTTCTGCTTATACCTGAGAAAGATAGAGGTCACAGAGAGCCAGAAACAGCTGGGTTACCTAGGAAAGCTCTGGAAGGAGCCTGTGGTCTAATGGAGTGAATCTGTGTAACATACACAGAAGATCCACAGGCGTCTCAAGAATGTTCCGTCAGTAGACATTGCTTTCTTTAAAGGGGACAGAGACAACATGAAATGAAAAAAGATGGCTGAGCCTCCTACAATTACATAGACATTACAAGCTGATAGAACTACTTGGCTGCAAATACCTGCTACCTTTCATGAGAAAGGAAAAAAAAAGGTCTCTGAGAGAAAGTCACACACCTAGAAAGGCTGCTGTGAGTCACAGAAGGCTGTTTCCAGGCCTTCAAGCCAAGAGTAGCTGGCTGAACTTATAAAGTGCTTGGCACTGGCAGCTCCTGTTTCCACCCCATTTTCTAATTTTCTTAAACAGGAATGTTTATAACAGTTATTCTATGCCTGTTGCAATTATATAACTGGTTTTCTAGGTTCACAGATGGAGAGAAACTGTGTCCTAGGAATCACTCATACCAGATGTTCACTCATACTTGGTTTACATGATTTAAATGAGATTCGGGACATCTGAGTTCATGAGATCCAGGTAAAACTTTGCACTTTTAAGCTGGTGCTGCAGTGGGTCGAAGCTCTTGAGCACCTTTCAGGGTGGGATGTGGATCTTCAGGACAGGAGTGGACTGCAGTAGACAGAATGACCTCCCAAAATGTTCATGTGCTAATCCCCAAGCCAATCAATTTGTCAGCCTACACAGTAGAAGAAATTCTGCAGATGGGGTTAAGTCACACATCTGAGGCGAGGAGATTATCCTAGAGTATCCAGGTGAAGCAAATGGAATCGCTAGGGCCCTTAGAAGAAGAAACGAGAATCAAAGCTGGAGGCAGAGGCCGTAAGGATGACAAGATGAGGGGCTTGGCCACAGTGAAGGGATGGATGCCAGCTGAAGAGGCATGAGATGAGCCCTGGTGCACTGGAAGGAACCTGTGATCCACCACCTTTCACGATCAAAGGGACCTCAAGGATCCAGTTACTATGGACCTTACATAGGGAGAGTATCCAGGATCACCTGGTAGACCCAACAAACAGAATCTTTCCTGGCTGTCTTCCAAGAGATGTGATGACAGAGGAGTCAGAGGGATAGTGTTGCTGGTTTTGGAGACGCAGAGAGGGAGTCTCAGGCCCAGGCATGCAGGTGGCCACTCGAAGCTGGTGAGGCAAGGACACACATCTCCCCGAGGACCTCCCAAGAGGAACGATGCCCTGCTGACACCTGACTATAGCCCAGCGAGGCCCACGTGAGACCCAGAGAAGCAAGAAACCTGGGCTACTGTGAGCCACTATGTCTGTAGTGATTTGTTACAGCAGCAATAAAAGACGAGTTGGGAGGAGGTGACCAAAGGTGAAATGGTGTTGGGGGATAAGCTTTTCTCTCACTCCTGCTGCACCTTCCCTCACTCAGCAAACATCTGGCTCCAGCAGAAACGTGGATATTTATGCTGGTGACTCTTCCAGTTCAGTCTCTTTGATGGAATTCACACTTCCATTTCTACCCTCGTTTGGTCTTGCAGTACAATACATTCTGGGTTGAGCACTTACAACAGTGTTTAGTTTACATAGTGGGTCCCCCAGAAACACTTGCTGAATGAATAAATGGGGGTGATCAAGACAGGCGCTGCCAGGGACTGTAGTTACTCTCCTTTAAAGTGCAGTTGAACACACTCCTCCTCAAGAACTGCTGACCTTTATGTCTTTGTTCTGGTTTATGATGGTCATAAAACACAAGGCAAAACTGTATTTTTCTGACATGACTAAAATAGCTAAATCAGCAAGTAAAAAGGAGTTTTGTATCTTAATAGGAGAAATGACTAGTATATAATCCAAGTATTTAAATATGAGAATACAGACACACTTCCCAGTATACATTACAGAAAAAATTTCAAAGTGTTTGATCAGAAGATTTCTTAATGGCTGCTGATCAATGCAGCATCAAGACACTTTAGTGCAAATTTTACCAAATGCATTTGTCAAAAATGGGATTTTGTTCATTTTCTCTGCAAACAAGTGCTGTTACATTAACTCTGAGCATGTATCAAATTGGTCTGCCTGAACATTTAAAAGCTATCAATGGAAGCCAGCCCTTTCGGCTAAAACTTCAAACATATGTTACCTTAAGATTTATTCCTACTCCAAATTTGTCTATCCTAAAGCTGGAAGATTGAAGAATTAAACCAAAATTTATCTGTATAAATAATAAAAATAATTTTTTACGCTCTTAAGTATTTTCCTCACTAATATGGCACATTACCGTTCCTACATGCTACTGCATTGGTAGGACAGTATCATTTTAACTGCTGGAGTATCACAGTGTTAAGAATATCTGCTTCTTGTAGTGTCAGGCTTTCATCTGTTAACACTTTGTTTGGAAACGAAGTCACGAGAATAAAGTCAAGAGCTGCAAATTCAGGACGAGACTGCACGATAAAGTCCCGGACATCCAGGATCCTGAAGAAATAAGATGAAAATAATTTGTGATATGAAAGTTTTATTGTCATTTAAGCTTTTTAGCCAAGATTAGATAATAATTAAAATAAATCACACAGTCTAATCCTTATTTAAATGTGCTATAACCTTCTTTAATTTCAATGGATAGATTTACCTTGACTTTCAGGTAAAATATGAGAATTAACTCTGGAGAGTACATAACAGTTACTTTCACTGTAAATACACACAATCTCCAGGTGAGTCGTTCTATCAAAGAAACATCAACAATGCTACCACTGAACTACAGGGCTGATTTTCTCAGAGTATAAAATATCTTAGTAGCACATGATCCAGAAAAAGGTATCTCAGATGAGCCTATGTCAACATGAGTCTGTACCTACGAAAAGTGTTAAAAAAAATTACTTTCATGTAGACACAGTAACTCAACTAAGATCATAAATGTATCTCTTAGTGGGACACAGTGAACAATAAAAATAATATCTTATTAGCATAACAAATGAATGCCAAAATGACATTTAAAACTGTTTATTTGAAATACTTGATAACAGCACAATTAAACTTTATTTACACTACAAATCTCTATGTAGATTATTAATCCTACAGGGTTAGGGCTTCCCTGATAGCTCAGTTGGTAAAGAATACACCTGCAATGCAGGAGACATGGATTCGATCCCTAGGTTGGCAAGATGCCCTGGAGAAGGGAAAGGTTATCCACTCCAGCATTCTGGCCTGGAGAAGTCCATGGACTTCTGTATAGTCAATGGGTCGCAAAGAATCTGACACGATTTCGACTTTTACTTCCAATCAGGGTTATCATAAATTTTTAAAGGAGTAAAGTCCAAATAAGGTTTACTAAAGTAAATCAAATCTGATTCAACTTTTCCTGGTTTTATCAACAGCGCAAAAAGACAGCTTTTAACAATTTTATTTCTAAGTGGTATCTGCATTAGTATTTGGACAGTTTACAGAGGATGTTTAAGTATTAATTGTTTGACTTATTTCAAGTTCTTCTGTCAAAAACTTACTTCAAAAGTAAACCTAAGCAATTTCATAATTTTTCTGACTCAAACTGCACCCAGATTTACAAAGATAAGTCACCCTGAGCTTACCTGTGTGTACTGTTGAATCTCTGTATCAAACGGCTCCCGTCTGCTAACCTGATCTGGATTTTGGTGGTTGGCATGGAATCGTCAATAAGAACCACTGCACTGAATAGTGACTTCTCCTCCTCTTCTGGGGAGGAAGGTGTACTGACTATTTCAGGTGTGAGGCTAAGAAAGAAGAATTAAAGAATCAGAACGTAAATACGAACACGTAAGACGCACGACACACTGCAGACAGTAGAAGCACCACTCAGACCTACAGCTGACTCTCTAGTCGTCCCGCCACCACATCTGCACCAGCAAGAACATAGCTTCCTTCGGGATATCCTATTTTTCTTGCAAACTCTTTTATTAAAATTATTCTGGGTGCTACGATTCTAATTTAGTTTATCTTTCTTTTGAAAGCCTAACTCTAGATTTCTTCCTCCTTCATCCCTTTGAAATTTCATGAGACTGTTGGGCACAATAGTCTTTAGTCAGAAACCCAAGCAATTTGGAGTTTATGTCCAAGACTGACCATGAGCACAGACAGATTTCAGATCCCAGCTTTGTCAATTTGTGTGAACTCGAGTATGTAACTTAAGCTCTTTGAATCCAGTTCTATCATTTATAAAATGGAAATAATAATGTTATGAAAGTCTGTTCTAGTAATACAGTGCTTCAAACAGTGTTTCAAGAGGTATCAGCTATATGTGTACATATCATCAATACTAAGCTATTAATTTAAACTTAGTTGATACTACTTTAAAAATCTGATTTAAGTAGTTACTGTTTTACAAAAAAGAAGTAATGAGAAATTTAATATATGGTGATGACAGTGATACATAAACAGACTCTGTATGATTTCAATACATTTAGACCATGAAATTTTTGCATCTTGTTTTATACCCCTGGATATGTTCCAGTGTCTCCTAGTTTACAGTCTATGGGGAACCTGAATAAAATTTGTATCCTACTGTTATATGAAAACTGTATAAAACTTAATTACATTGAGTTGGCTCATAGTGCTTTTCAGGTCTACTATATAAGTCTCCTTCTCTGTATATTTTTTCTATTAATTTTTGAGAGTTTGTTATTGAAACTTTAAAGATCTTACTTTATCTACTTTAATATATGGTGATGAGTATATAATGAGCCTTGTGTGATATGATCTCTTACCAGTGGACCATGGTTACAAGTGACCACAGTGCCTTCTAATGCTAGCAGGATGACCTGTAACTGTAAGCTGAGAGTAAACGTCAAAAACAGAGTGCTCTTTTGATTAAGCAATTAAAACAAACGCAGCCAAGTTCATTAAAGACATCACATCTTAGTCTTATCTGTTATCTTTTAAGGGATCTTTTGACAATCTTGAAGTTTATTCTTTCAAATACTGAGACTTAGATGGGTCCCTATCTTATTTTTGGAAAGGAAAAAACAAACAAAACCATATATCTGTTAGTATAGAGGCCCCCATGAGCATTTGTGCTTTATTCTAGTACAAACGAGCTCATTATAGCTCTTCTTCCCACCCAAAAGCTTTCTCAACCTATACATCCAAGTGGGACAAGTAATTGGCACTTCCTGCTACAGTTTGCCTTTCCTTAGCTACCTCCTGACACATATTACAGCACCAATTTCAGAATGTATATGATAAAGATATGGAAAAGGAGAAAATGATGATCTGCAGTCACTGCTCAAGTAGTATTAAGGAATTTCCTGTCAAAGTTTGTAATTCAGGGTTGAAACAGCTGTACCACCAAGGTGGGTTACTGTGCCCACAGGAGGGCGGGAGGCAATGAACCAAGGGGCCTCTTCCCTCTCCCTCTGCGTCCCTATTCCCAGGTCTCCACGCTGTCTTCACCACCAGTAGCACATTCAATTTCTGGAGTGAGGAGGCGCCGTGGCTAACAGCATGGATCCAGAAGCCTGACTCCAGGGCTGATTTTGCCACTTGTCAGACATGTGACCGGCGGCAAGTTGCTTCACCTCTCTGTGCCCAAGTTCCCTCAGTTGTAAAACAGAGATGACAGCTGCACTACTGCAAAGATGAAATTAATTAGATGTGTAAGCACGTCAGTGCTTCTATATAGTTAGCTATTAATGTTTTAACTACTGTCCTAACAACAACCAGGGGAGGAAAAGGTGCCTGTCACCCCGTGGGTAGACGGGTCTGGGCTTCTCTCCAGGATGCCAAGCTGCCTCGCACTGCTCCTTCTGTGCTTTAATATTTCCTGTTTAGAAAGATTCAGACCAGCTAAGCTACTTCCCAAAACATGAGAATAAAGTGCAGGGTGAGAACTCTAAGAAGAAATGCTTTCATGCATTTCTTTGTATGATGTGTGTGTGTGTCAAAGTGAAATTACATGGAATAACAATGAAAGACAGGTATAAGGAACTGACACTGAATTCTTCCCTATGCTGAGAAATGAAAGGGGAAGAGAGAACCACTGTGCACAAGGCAACTGAGAAGAACTTTGAGAGGAAGGAGGCACATGAACAGGAACACAGGGCGCCCTAGAGGGCATGGTGGCGACGCAGCCTAGGCCCAGTTCAACATACCACCTGCAACGACGCGTGGACAATGGAAGGTCACGTTTACCAGCACACATTAGTACGTTTACAAAGAGTCCAGTCATGGCTACTATAAAGGAGTTCATCATACGCCATGCCACACTCACTGGTTTCTAAATTGTGCTCAGCAAAGTCTTGGGGTTCACTGGTCTGGAGGTATCTAAGACAATCCCCTCTTTCTGCAATCAGAGTTCTATATGTGTTTCCATAACCTGAAGAAAGAGTTTGGCTGCTTAAAATATATTGAAAATAACCAACTTAAGGACATTGCTTTGGCTGTTAAGAGCTTAACAATTACTTACAGCAGAGAGATGCTTAAAGCTATGATCTAAGATATTCACTGTTTTATCTAATCAATAATTTCCCCCTGTGAGCCCACATAATCATAAACAGGCAGGATGGCACAGTGGTAAAAATCATGCACTCTGGAGACAGAGTGCCTGGTTTGAATCTCACACTCTAACCACTTCCTGGCTTAACTACTCTGGAAGAACTACTGCACCTGCAAATGGAGTGGTGACAGGCGCTAAGTCAAGGAGTTGCTGTGAAGATGAAATGGGTTCATGTCTGTAAAGGTGCTGACAGAGTCAGGGATATGCAAATAACTGCTGTCTAAGTATAACATTACCTACTAACACTACCACCAGAATTGCACATCTGATTCCATCATCGAGGAGTCTTTACAATTCGTATCTTAGTTTTTACTCTCTAGGTTATTTTGCTCTCATTCTCAAAGAAAATTCATGTTGAACAAAGACAAGTGTTTTTCTCACTTTATGATTTTACCTTCCAAGTTTCTGTCCTTCTCCACTAAAAGCCTTGAACCTCAACCGAGGCTTTATGTATTCTTGATCCTGATGGTCCTCCATATCCAAATTCAAGTGTCCTCCATGAACCAGTCGCTGAAGCTCCAGGGGAATCTCTCTTAAAAAAAGAAAACCCACAATGAGATATGACCGCACATCTGTCAGAATGGCATTCATCAAATAGAGCACAAATAACAAGTGCTGGCAAGGATGTAGAGAAAAGAAAACCTGTATCCTGTTGGTGCGAGTGCTTCTGACAGTTAGAGCACTAAACTGTGGAATGGCATTTATACCTCAGTCAGCAAAAGAAAATCCCCATGAGGACCTAACAGGTAATGCGGTATTTCTTTCTAACACTCTGGTGTAAGGCTGGAAGTTTGACAGGGGTGGTTTTGATTATCATCTGATTCATGTGTGCCACCCTCCTGTAGGCAACTGTTGTTTTTTTTGTATTGTATTAATGTGCTTTGAACTTTTCAGGAACTCACCTGCCGTATAAACCAAAGAAAGATTGTACTTTGTTTTGTCTGGAACTTAGTCAAGTATAGTATAGTATAGTATAGCGTATAGTATAGTATAGAGTATATACATGTATTGTAGTATATGTATAGTAATTAAGTTGCTAACTTCACACACCTCACTACTCCATTATTCTCATTTGTCATATCTACATGATAAGTACGAGGCTGCAAACAGGTGTGCAGTCTGTGTGTATGTGTGCTCAGTTCCTCAGTTGTATCCAACTCTTTGAAACCCCAAGAACTGTAGCTCACCTGGCTCCTCTGTCCATGGGATTTTCCAGGCAAAAATACTAGAGTCGGTTGCCATTTCCTCCTCCAAGGGATCTTCCCAACCCAGGGATCTAACCCGAGTCTCCTGCATTGACAAGTGGATTCTTCACTACTGAGCTACCTGGGAACCAAGCTATCTACTTTGTTATATTTTGGTTATGTTATGAAATATGTGTAATTTCATAAGTTACCTTCCTTTACTTTTTCACCATATTTAAGATAAATGTTACATGAAACTTGTAAGCATAATATGCATAGACTGATTATGTTATCTATAAACACTTCCTTGAGGATAGTGAAGATGGTGTTACAAAATATGTCATAAAGCAGGGGGCAACGATTATACAGCTCACAAACACTATCTGACCACCAATCATTTTTTTCAAGGCACCTTTTCTAAAATTGTTCTTGATCATAATTTGAACATGAGGATACAGTGTGGCTCAAATGAAAACATCCCCTTGGTATTCCAAGACTGAACGCTAGCCTACAAAGTTCATGGAGTATTTTCATTTAATAGTAAGTTAGTTTGGATCTTTGTGACAGCACACTCCTCACCGACATGGTCTTTCCTCCTCCACCCTGAAGTAAGCATTATTTCAACAGCCCTGTAGATCTGCAGCAGGTGGAGGAGCACGCCCCGCGGCCCCAGCTGCTCCCAGTCCGCTCACTGACTCTGCAAGCTCCCAAGCCCATGGCCCTGACCTCCCCTCTTGACCTTGCGTTCACCACCAGCACACACCACCTGCCGGAACAGCCTCCCACCTTTCTCAACGACTTCCTTACCAATTACAGCATGTCTTACGAAACCTTTTTCGGTATTCTGACATCATCTGGGAGAATTCAACTTCAAAATCCAAGCAAATTAATGTCCTAAAATGCCTTTCCTTCAGAGTTCCACCTCCACTCCCCTCCTACCACTCTGCTAGGATAAATTTCACCGCCTGGAAAAGCCCCACCTTCAACTCCTGGATGGAGAGTAGCCTCTTGTTCTGGGCCCTTCACTGCTATTCACACTTCCCAGCTCATAAGCAGCCTGATGTCTTTCTTTCGCTGCATTCCTACTTCGGGATGATCACTTATCAGCTAGTGAAAATAAACAGCTCTTGTAGCAAAACCACTCGAGTCCTTGTCTTTCAGCCCCAAGGGCTGGTGGGTCACACCGCTCTTTAGATGGGTCAGGGCACTGTAAATCTGGTTTCGAAAATTTTAACTTCAAACTAACCTTCTGAATTCTTCTGCCAGCAGTAATGCCATTTAAAAAATTTCTAATATAAGCGGCTTTCAGGCATACATGCAGTGAGTCACCCTGTCAACAGTAAGCAGGACAGTGGCTTAGCAGATGGGCAGACACCTACTGATCAATTCACAAATTTATGACACTACGATGCTGCTTCTCAGAACTGGGACCATAGCTTCATCAGATTTTAAAAGGAACCAACGTCTACTGCTCCCCCCACCAAGTTAAGAACCAGTGACTTACAGACAGAAATGTGTCCTTTATATACTTAAAAATACCCTTCCTCCCAGCAACCACTTACAGAATATATTCCCATATTTCACTCTTAAAAACCAGTGGAGCACTACTGACTGGTGGCCTGTTTAAAAAAACAAACAAACAACTTCTACTCTCAGTAACAGACAAAATCTAAGTAACATATCTTACCCTCTCTTAACAGACTCCAGAAACTGGGCATTTGTTGGGTCACTGTAAGGTCTCAATTCTCCATCATCCAAGCTGAAACCATTGCTCCACAGTTTAAGCAAAATTTGAACCTTTCGAGCATGGAAAAAAGAGATACAAGAATGCATCTGCATTAAACAATTTTAATTTTCAAACACGTTACTTACTACTTATTGACAGTATGAAGTACATACTTTCCTGGTGCTCTAGCGGTTAAGAATCTGCCTGCCAATGCCGAGGAAATGGGTTTGATCTCTTGTTGGGGAGCTAAGATCCCACGTGCTGCGGGGCAATTAAGTCCATGTGCCACAACTACCAAGTCCAAGCTCTAAAGCCTGTGCTCCACAACAAGAGAATCCACTGCAATGAGAAGCCTGAACACCGCCACTAGAGAGTAGCCCCCATTCGCTTCAACTACAGAAAGCCCGTGCAGCAATGAAGACCAGTGCAGCCAAAAATAAATTAAAACCAACAACAACAAAAAACAACCAAATATTTAAAAAATATACAAAGCTTTTTGTACTATCCTTTATTTTATTCAGGTCAAATGAGGACATAAATGGAACCATGCGTGCTTCCTGAGATTTGTATTTGGCTTAACAGACTGACAATGGCTAAAATACCAAAGGTGCCACTGCTGGAGCCTGACCTTGAAGCACAATTATTTCTGACTCACTGAGAAGACCGAAGTTGTGACAGAAGCCACTGCCACTCCACACCCACTCTCCCCTTCATCTGTACTCATATTCTGCTCTGCTTCAAGCCAGGGAGCACAGTGGAATCTCCAGTGACCCTCCAAAGTAAAACTATTCATCATGTTGAAAATGAGACGGTTAACTCCAAACTTTCAAAAAGCAAAAACAAAGACTGGCTTTAGGCATTTCTATGTTTGTGCGTGTGTGTTGTGTCCAGCTCTTTCTGACCATGTGGACTGTAGCCTGCCAGGTTCCTCTGTCGATGGGATTCTCTAGGCAACAACACTGGAGTGGACTGCCATTTCCGTCTCCAGGGGATCTTCCCAATCCAGGGATCAAACCCACGTCTCTTGTGTCTCCTGTATTGGGAGGTGATTGTTTACGACTTGGGCCACCTGGGAAGCCCAATGTTTCTATGTATATAACTCAGCTAATTCTATACCATGATGGTATGCCATTTATATAATTATTATGACATTTATGTAACTCATTTTGACAGTCAGTGATATATTCTTTCACAAATGGTTATATATCTCTAAGTGCAAGGCACACCTGAGATACAAAACACAAAATTTGAATCTGTAAACTTACACATGAGTCTTTTTAATCGATACTTCAAAAAATAACAGAAAAAGGTTTTCAATTTTTAATTTTATAATGAACAGTAGTAATTAGCGGCAAAAATGGACAATTTCTCATTTTTATTATTGTACCTACATCTTGCAACTGATTTTCTCCATAGATGTATTCAGACTGCTTACAAAAGGAATTACCCAATCTGTATCCTCCACCTGTAAAAGACTAAAAGCACACAGCAAGTGTGTTAAAAATCCAGTCTTATTAAAGCAAAATGTATGATAATGTATGATATATATTTTAAAACTAGATCAATTATAATTAGCCACACTGGTTTATACTTTCCAGGAAATTTTTACATTAAAATAAATGTTCTATGTTACAGAGATGTATACTCTAGTAAATTGCTTTCTTCCCATAAAAACATTAGTGACTCAGAAGCTGAAATAACTTATGCCAATCTTAAATTAGGAAATATATTCATACACTGAAACAATACTTTTCAGTAGAAACAGACTTTTAAAACTCACCATTAATATTTTATAACAAGTCATAATAAAATTGTAATTCTTGAATCATATTTGACAAAGCATTAAAAGCTTCAAAGAGAAAGGAAGAATTTAATAAAGTCGAGTATAAATTACCCTGAAGAAAAGCTCCATACTTACTTTATAAGCAGCTTTGATTCAACTATAACGAATCAACTGAACTGCACTTTTTATTTTGTTACACTAACCACAAGCTCTTCTATTTTTCAGGTGAGGTAGCTTATGAAGTAAAAACACCATTCCTTTTAATTATTATTCATATCATATATGGGTTTTTAATCACCACATTCATAGAAATGTTAAGAAACTGCTTTAACTTTTGATTAATAGAAAGATTATAGACTTTGAAAAATAACAGAAATATCTGAAACAGAAATATACAGTTAGAGAAATAGTGTTTGCAAGTAATATAAAAATCTACAGCAGATCAAGTATACTGATCGCATCTTTAGTTTTAAAGCTTCAGCCCTTACCTTAGATTTGTCATCACCCGAGGTTCTAGTGGCTTCATTCAGAGGGACGGCCCCGTGTTCCCTTGCCTCTCTGAAAAGTTCATTCACAATTTTCCCAGTTGAAGGTTGAACTATATGTAATCCACTGCATTCATGTTCACTTGAATAGAACCTTTAAACATTGTAAAGTTCATGAATAAAAACAGAATGTAAGCATACAGTCTTAGGAAATGACTTTTATTTAAAAAGAGCCATTTCTATGGCTTTTGTGGAAGTACTTAATTTTAACGTCAGGATCAAGGAATTAAGAAGTAAAGAGTTCATTCATCTACTTTCTCATGGAGTTTGCAGAAATGCTCGTAGCAGGCTCAGCATCCCACCTGAGAACTAGCTTGCTTCTTCCTTCCTCCCACTCTGTGACTGCTGATCTATCGGCGTGATCCTGGGAAAGCACTGCTGACAGCCAGAAGCTAAGTCTCTTCCCCAGAGGAACCCACATTTCTTAGGACTTGGTCAGTGAAGAGCCCTCTAGATTTAGACAATGTGAACATCTAAATCCACAGGCCTACACATAAGAGTTTATTCCTCAGAGAGCTCTGACTGAAAAATTAACCTCCCCCTCATGTTAAAGGTTGTAATTTCCATGTGTTAAAGGGTTTCCTTGGTGGCTCAGATGATAAAGAATCTGCTTGCAATGCAGGAAGCCTGGGTTAGAGCCCTAAAGAAGGGCATGGCAACCCACTCCAGTATTCTTGCCTGGAGAATTCCATGGACAGAGGCACCTGGTGAGCTACAGTCCATGGGGTCACGGAGTCGGACATGACTGAATGACTAACACTTTCACACTTTTTCACTATGTTAAAGGTAAATAATTCAGACCACAATTTTCTCAATGTGTTAACTATGCAGTGAATCATTTCTCCTCTCTTTTCAATCTCCTCATAAAAGCTTCCTTCATATGAATTAGTACACTATTTTATCTTTCAAGATTTCTTCCAACCAAGAATGTCAGAAAATATAACCAATGAAATATAAACATGGCGACTTTCAGAATAAGATGAAAATCAAAGCTCATTTCCTGAACTACCCATACCCTCCAGTCCAGTTCCCCATCTACACTGAACTGACTCAGAGGGGGAAAATTCTATCAGCACTGAAGACCAGGGACAGAGTCACGTTCAAGGCTTTCTCCAAATGAGTACCTGCAAAACGAAACAGGAAAAGGAAGGGAAGCTCTGCTCTCAACTCTTTGTCAGTGAAGGAAAGATCCAAGAGGAGAACAGTGGACACCAGCAGACCCCCACTAACAAGGCTGGTTCACAGCTGGGGCACACTCCAAGCTCCTAGTGCCCTGGGAAGGGACCTAAGGCCCAAGTTTACCCAGAACAGGAGCCAACCGAAGCCCTCCTGCCAAGCTGACCCTCAGAGGGCCCCGTGCAACAAAGCAAGGCCAGGCACTGCCATGGCTGGCTTTAAGACTAGGGTCAGTGCAAAAAGCCAGTAGTCATGTAGGGATGTGAGAGCTATAAAGAACGCTGAGTGCCAAAGAATTGATACTTTCAAACTACGGTTCTGGAGAAGACTCTTGAGAGTTCGCTGGACAGCAAGGAGATCAAACCAGTCAACCCTAAAGGAAATCAACCCTGAATACTCATTGGAAGGACTGATGCTGAAGCTCAAATACTTTGGCCACCACATGTGAATAGCCGACTCATTGGAAAATGCTGGGAGAGACTGAAGGCAGGAGGAGAAGGGGGTGACAAAGGATGAGATGGTTGGATGGCATCACCGACTCAATGGACATGAGTTTGAGCAGACTCCGGTAGATGGTGAAGGTCAGGGAGGCCTGGTGTGCTGCAGCTGATGGGGTTGCAAAGATTCGGACACGGCGACTGAACAACAGGGCAAGAGTGAGCCTGACAGCTATGCCTTAAATGGCAGTATGAGAAGGAAAGGGGGAGGGAGGGAAGGGGAGGGAGTGGGGAGCTTCTGCTGCAGGCTCTCCCTGTTGTCCCGGGTCCCTGATCTCAAGAGCCCAGTCACAAAGCTCCTTCCTCTCAGTCTCGCTGAGAAAGACCTTACAGGAAAAACCGGGCACAGGGAAAGATTTACTAACTTCTTTACGGTCTCCGAATTTTTATTACTGGTGTAAGAAATCTCTGCCTGCCTCAAGGTCTATTTTCTTCTAGAAATTTTATTGTTTCCCTTTTATATTTAAATCCACAATCCATATTTCGCCTCTTTCGTAAGTATGCCTATATACTTACTTCTCTCTTGCTCTATTTCAACTCATCTGATCATCGTTTGTCCCTGTCCAGAGATAACAACTTCTTCCGTAGAGATGACACTCAAATATAGATTTTTAGAGCCTCTTCCTTATGGTCCACTGCTGAACTTACCTACTTGAATCCAGTTTATCTCTTCCCATGAATGATCACATTTTCCTTAGATACTAGATTAAGAACTTTTCAGAGTTCTCTCCCACTCTCTTTTCCATGTCATCACATTTCTATTCCACATCATGTTTATACAATAAATTCTTTTGAAAGTATCCACACCAATGTCACCCTTTCTCCTCCATTCCACTGACACCACCCTAATCCTAGTCCTAAATTTTACCAGCATAAATTTGGATTACTGCAGTTATTTTTTCCTTGATGTCTTCTTATCCTGTTTTCCCCATTACTCCTTATTTTATATGGTACTGCCAGTCCTATTTTTCTAAAGGTATTATAATAATAACTAACATTTATCAAGTGCTCATTTAATCCTCATAAAAATGGCATTAACTCCACTTTACAAATAAGAAATACTGAAGTTTAGGAATTGAAAGACTTGTTCACTGCCAAAATCTTATTAGAACAGAGAGGAGAAAAACAACTGAGGTGCGTCTATGACTAGAAACAAAGTTTTTATCACTATAATTTTTATTGTAAAATTTACAGTAAAACCATATACTGGCTTTCCCCTTTCCACATAAGCACAGCTTTCCTTGGCCTTCTAGGCTGGCTGTGCTGTGGCTGCATCCAGGACTGGACACGTAATTTGTGGGCCCAGTACCAAAATGAAAGTGGGAGTTTCCTTGTTCAAAATGTGTTAAGAATTTCAAGGCAGTAAGAGCAAAGTTTTCCAGCAAATGAAAATCAGAAAAGGTCAGTTTCATTCCAATCCCAAAGAAAGGCAATGCCAAATAACGTTCAAATTACCACACAATTGCACTCATCTCACATGCTAGCAAAGTAATGCTCAAGATTCTCCAAGCAAGGCTTCAACAGTATGTGAACCAAGAACTTCCAGATCTTCAAGTTGGATTTAGAAAAGGCAGAGGAACCAGAGATCACACTGCCAAATCCAATGGATCACAGAAAAAGCAAGAGAATTTCAGAAAAACATCTACTTCTGCTTCACTGACTACACCAAAGTTTTTAACTGTGTGGATCACAACAAACTGTGGAAAATCCTTAAAGAGATGGAAACACCAGGTCACCCTACCTGCCTCCTGAGAAATCTGTATGCAGGTCAAGAAGCAACAGTTAAAACTGGTCTTGGAACAATAACTGGTTCCAAATTGGGAAAGGAGTACGTCAGGGTTGTATACTGTCACCTTGCTTATTTAACTTATATGCAGTGTACAGATAGCAAAATGCTGGGCTGGATAGAGCACAAGCTATAATCAGGATTGCTGGGAGAAAGATCAATAACCTCAGATATGAGATGACACCACTCTTATGGCAGAAAGCAAAGAAGAACTAAAGAGTCTCTTGATGAAAAGTGAAAGAGGAGCGTGAAAAAGCTGGCTTAAAACTTAACACTCAAAAAACTAAGATCATGGCATCTACTCCCATCATTTCATTGCAAATAGATGGGGCAACAGTGAAACAGTGATAGACTTTAATTTCTTGCACTCCAAAATCACTGCAGATGGTGACTGCAGCCATGAAATTAAAAGACACTCGCTCCTTGGAAGAAAAGCTATGACCAACATAGACAGCATATTTAAAAAGCAGAGACATTACTTTACCAAGAAAGGTTTGTATAGTCAAAGTTGTCGTTTTTCCAGTAGTCACGCACGTATGGATGAGAGAGTTGGACCGTAAAGAAAGCTGAGCACCAAAGAATCGATGCTTTTGAACTGTGGTGTTAGAGAAGACTCTTGAGAGTCTCTTGGATAGCGAGATCAAACCAGTCAATCCAAAAGGAAATCAGTCCTGAATATTCATGGGAAGGACTGATGATGAAGTTGAAACTCCAGTACTTTGGCCACCTGATGTGAAGAACTGACTCACTGGAAAAAGACCCTGATGCTGGGAAAGATTGAAGGCAGGAGAAGAAAGGGATGACAGAGCATGAGATGGTTGGATGGCATCATCGACTAGATGGACATGAGTTTGAGCAAGCTCTGGGAGTTGGTGATGGACAGGGAAGCCTGGCGTGCTACAGTACATGGGTTTGCAAAGAGTTGGACACGACTAAACGACTGAACTGAAGAGCAAAGCATTAAAGCAAGCTCAAGGCCCTTCCCAGTAGGTTCTCTGGATGCACACAGAGGCCCCACATCTTTTAAGTAGGCCCCGGCAGCACCCCGCCTGTCCATCCTCACCGGCCACGAGGCTACCAAAGTTCTGCTGCTCCTCTTCAGCTCCCTCCTGTCACTTCTATTACTTTTTTCTTCTAGGCCTATTCTGCCCCTTGTCTTCCAGTCATCTTTAAAGGCCCAGCTAGGTACCCACACTGTGCCAGATATTGTGAACACCTGTCTCACTAATTTCGCAAAACCATACTAGGATCTAATGACTTGCAGGGAACATTTTTCTAAGTTCTTATATTTTTGAAGAAGAAGAGTTACATTTTTAAAAAGTCCTATTTGTGACAGAGAACCTTTTGTGGATGAATATGTAAAAGCAGGTGTCAGGCTGTCTTCTGTGAACTTTTCTGTAGATCCTTCCTGTCCCTCCTTTTGTTTAAAACAGATCAAGTTATGTCTAGACTACAGAAACTTCACATGATGGTCACACTGAAAACATACTGGCTTACAACAACAATGAACAGATGAATGTTTTGATATTTAATGTTGCCCAAGAAGGTGGACCATGAAGTAAGTGGACCATTTCTGTACCAGACAAAGCAGCAGACAGGCAATGAAATCAGGCAGGTGTCACTGCCAAATGTGAAGCCAACAGAACTGCATACTTTCTATTCAAAAGTATCACACTTAGCAAAAAGAAAAGATGGCCAATAATTTGGTTTGCAATTGTATTTTAAGTGGATCAAACATAGCATAAGCCTCAATATATTTAACCCAGCCCCTCCTTTTGGACATGTAAGTAATTCCAGAAATCATATCTGAGGCACTAAGTCCTTAAAAATTGCATTATCAAATTGTAAACATTAATGGCAACACTGTGTCAGCATAAAATAAAAAAGGATTCACTGAAATATTTTAAGGATTATATTTGAATCTTTAAGGAAAATATTAATGTACTAATCTTATTTTAAGAAGTCAAATATTTTGATTTTTTTATACCAGCAAATCAAGTCATTCAAAAACTGGTTCAAATTGGGGAAGAATGGTCAAATAACTCATGAGTAAAACTTTGGTACATTAATATTTTAAGCACTTTCAAAGTTTCGAAGACTGTACAAATTAAGGAAGCAGCTAAAATATATATATGTCTGTGTATATATAATACATATGTATTATATAAATGTGTATACATAATACATATATAAATGTCTATATATAATACATAGTATATAAATGTCTGTGTGTAATACATACATATTACATAAATGTCTGTGTATATATAACATATATTACACATATATATACATACATACATATACATATATTATACATACATCTGTGTGTGTATATATGTATCAGATAAACTAAAGTGAAAGGGAAGGATATTCAGACTATGCCAAGATGACCAATCTGCAGACAATAAAGGAAAGACTGTACCTTCTGGTGGAGTGATGGTGGCGGTCAGCACCCTAACCGAGTGAACAGGGCGCCAAGAGTGGTGGAACCTGAAACCATATGGCTCCCGGTGTAACATAATACACAGCAGAAAATATCACCAAGTAGTACTCTTGACAAGCATGTTTAACAAGAATCTAATTGTGAGGAAACAGTGACCTTGAATGTGGGACACTTGAATGTCTCACTTGAATGTGAGACATCTGGGCCCAGCTCTTCAATGTCAACGTAATAAGCTTTAGATTAAACAGATGAGCTAAAAGCAGACAATGGAAAGGTAGGAAGAATGCTCTAGATTCAGATTTAAAACAGGCATCATCAGTGACATGTATGGCTCCTAAATCCTCAAAGCCTCTAAGAAAGAGTATCTGATTATGGACTATGTATTAAATAACATGCAGTTAGCGCTCATTTTCTAAGGTGTGAGACGTTATCACGGAGTGTTTGCATTTTATTGGGTGCGGACTGCAGCCTCTAGGAAAGAAGTGCTATCACGGCTGCAATTTATTTTCAAGTGGTTGAGTAACAGAGAGTGTGTGCACCAAGGAACTGCTACAGCATATAAACAACCGGTGAATACTGGAGCAGACACAGCATATGTTCATTACCCTAATCTTTGGATTATCTATGTATTTGAAAAATTGGAAAATAAAAAGTTGGGGTGAAAATTATAAATTATAACTGTTATTCTTTCCATTCAGGTCTGGAAGGAAAGATAGGTCATTTTATCTCCCCTACAGGAAGAAGGCAGGCAGAATAGTGACAAACAAAAAAACTGATTTCCAGTGAATTTTTCAACTTCTGGAAAAGTAAAAGACTTTCTGAGAATGAGATGTAATGGGGAAATTCAAGTTTCTCCCTAGTAATGAGATTTGTGTACTAAAAAGACATTAATGTACACATGGAAATAAGAAAACTCATGACAATAAAATATACCTGGTTTCCATCTCTTAAATCTTCACTGTTGGTTCTTTTTATAGTTCAGGGATTTTAACAACAGCAAATACTATCTATCACTATTAGATGTGTCATCATCCAATGGAAGGAAAGACAGAGTCCTGAAGTCACAGATTCTTAAATGGAGAACAAAACACATAGAGGGGGTCCAAGCCTGGGCTTTAAGAAACACGTAAACCTTTAAAAATGACTGACAAAGCTGTACATAAATGTTGTTCTAGGGGAGAGAGGGTGTAGCTTTTATGAGATCCTCAATGAGTCCTATGACTCAAAATAGAACCACAGTGCCCAAGAAAAATACTACTCAGTATATTATGCTATGTGATGTCTATAAAAACATTAAGTATTTAAGATAATTTTCCCAAAATTTTCTTCTCACTTTCTATTATAGTTTCAGAAATAGTATCTAAAAATATTTAAGAAATTATAGTTAAAAAATTCCCAAGGCCATTTAAAATAATGTGGGATTAGTGAACTAAAAAGGGATACAAGTTTGAAAAACAAAACAAAACTTACCTTTGAGGTGCTGTCTGTGGGCTTTTAAAGGCTGTAGCTTTAGGTCTATCAGATTTGGAAGCTTTGTACTTCACTTCATCTTCATATAATTCTGCCAAGGCCAACTACAGAATAACAGATTTGTTATAAAGTATAAAAACACTAGAAATAAACTCTCCATACAAAAAGTTAGGAGTAGAAAATTAACTTGTAATTGAGTAGTCAAGATTATTAATGAAAAATGAAGGTTGCTATTTCAGAAGATGACTTCCTCCCAAAACAAAACCACTGCAACTCTCACTAAAATGTCACACATAGTAGCATAAATTAAAGTTATATAATATTATATATAATATTCATATTATATATAATAATTATATAATTATATATAATATTCATATTATATATAATTATATATAATAGTTATATACTATATAAATTAAAGCATAAATTAAAGTAATAATAGCTTAATTACTTTCAATGAACTATTAACAGTTTCAAAAACAATTTGGTAACAGATTATTTTCAAAGTTGGACCTATAATTCTTTTAAAAATACTTGAAGATGTTTTACAATAATGTCAGCTTGCTCTCATTAGACCCCATAAAAAATATTTCATTTCGTTCTTCAACTTTTCAAAATCTGAGTACATAAAACAATTTCACAATTATTTAAAAGTTTACCAGACATATAAACTTCTACAGTTTAGGAAAATAAGCTTTTAAAAAATAAAAGACAATGAAATATATATATATATATATATAGAGAGAGAGAGAGAGAGAGAGTTTATATAACTGTTAGAAAGCAGTATTACCAAATTATGCTTTATAGATATATGGCTGAATATCTTCTTCAAAATGAAATCAACAAAGCATACTTTTTGAAACTGGAATTTAAAGAAATTATCAAAATATTTCATTATTGTATAAGTTATATTGTTCCCACTTTTGACATCCTTGGACAACTCAAAGACTTTCCTTAATGGCCCTTGTGGCTATTCAATTAAAACTGGCATGACCTTAATCTTTGAAAAATTAAAAAAACCAAGAAACAACTCTCCTGCAAAACACAGATGAAGTACTCCTAGAAACAGGAGCAATATGAAACAATTTCCAGGGAATCTGTCCTCAGTAGGAAAAGAAAAACAGGGAACTGGGGCAAAGCTAAATTTTCTGAAGATTCTATTAATCAATCTTTAAAATATGCAAGAAACAAGAAAACAAAACTGAAAGGCTTTATTTTTCTCACCTAACTTTTGACCACCACTCCATACACATGTCAACTTTCATATTTCTATCATGTTAATTTTGCAGGAAACCTTAATTATAAAAGTGTAGTGTAGCCTAAAAGAATCTTATTAAAATCCTAACTTAGGTTTTTACTGTGTGACTTAAGCAAATTATTTATCTTCTCGGAGCTTTAGTTCCCTCATCTTCTAATGTCCACAATAAAGGGATTACATAATGTATGTGAAGCACAAGGCAAATGCTCCATTCCCAGAAGGTAGTATTAAAAACTGCTCAACAATGATTTTTATCACTGTTTCATTTTACCCAAGATCTTTCTTCCTGCAGTATTTATTATCTATACATCTTCTATGATCTTTTCATACTAGATCTTCTCCAAAAGGGAGAAACAAACAAACCACCCCCACCATGCACAAAAAATAAATGAGAGACATGGACAGAGACAGACACTCTAATTACCTGGAACCAAGGTTTTCAGAAATTTTTACCTTCAAAAATTTTCTTCAAAACCATATTCCTTTATGGATTTCCTCATGACATGGTAATATTGTTCTATGAATTATTTTTATGCTATTCCTCCATCAATGGAAATGGTACCCGTATGTCAAAGGCCCATTATAGCCATCCTTTACAAAGCCTTTTCTAGTTTTCTTAACTAAAGTGATGTACCCTTTTCTAAATCCTTATAGCATATGGCATTCTATTATTGACACATATTAAATATTACATTCTCATCACTTGTGTACTTTTCTTACTATTTCATCCCCCCTACTATAATTTAGGCTTCTCAAATTGTTTCTAATGCAGAACTGGACAGGCACCCAAAATATTTTTGTTAAATTATGTAGACTATAACACAACAGGAATCATAGAGAGACATGGGTAGATAAATTATGCTACAGATTTAAAAACTGAGATACTGAGTTGGCCAAAAGGTTGTTTGGGTTTTTTTTTTCACAAGCTGTTACGGAAAAATCTGAATGAACTTTTTGGCAAATTCAAAATCTCCTATAGTTTTGTACCTTGTTTTTTGCTTGAAGATTTGAACAAACCCTGTCAATCAAATAATCTATAAAATAAATGAATAATGCAAACAATGCCTTCTGACTCCATGAAATGTGGAACATATATTAATAAAATAGGAATATGGAGAAAATTACATCAGACCAGGGAGTCCAACTAGCTGAAAGGTCCTAGTCATTATTGGCACATCATTAACTTAGAAGAAAATGAATGATATTTAAAGGGAATTAATGCCAGGATCCATGATGTCCCTATAGCATCATATGGTATAAATTCATTAGCTAATTAATGCTATTTGATATAGCAAATGACACCACATCTGAAGAGAAAATAAACTGATGTACTGGTTAAAACCAGTAGAAAACGACAGAAAAATCTCAGTCAAATAAAGGGATAAAAATATATGCATTGTGAAATAATTATGCACCGTGAATTATCAGGACAGATTTCCATGAGCTAAACAACTAAATTATGTGATATTCCAATTACCCAGAGAGAATAAAGTATGTAAGCACTGATCTTTTTCTCCAGAAGTGGAAATGTAATGAATGTGTGAAAAGGACCTGAAACTGTAGGTAAGAATATCAACAACATAGCAAAAGAATGAAAGTACTGGAACTGCCAGTCTTAGAGAGACAACTGCCAGAAGGTATAATGTGATTGTTTAGTCCCTCAGTCCTGTTCTTTGTGACCCGGTGGACCTCAGCCTGCTAGGCTCCTCTGTGCACGGGATTTTCCAGGCAAGAATACTGGACTGGGTTGCCATGCCCTCCTCCAGGGGATCTTCCCAACCCAGGGGCTGAATCAGCATCTCCTGCACTGGCAGGCAGATTCTTTACCCCTGAGCCACCTGGGAAGATTTAACAGACTTAAATCTAGAAGAGCAACATCAGCATCACCTGGGGGCCCTTTAAAACTGCAGGTGCTCAAGCCCCGCCCTGGACCAAAAGAATCAGAAACTCAGGGTGGGGCTCAGGAACACGAGCTCAAGCAAACCTTTCAAGTGACTCTGGTGCACGTGAAAGCTGAGAACCAAAGATAAGGGACACTGACACCAAGCGGATGAAGGTCCCAGACTACTCTTTTCTCACTGATGGAACTCTCTTCTCTGCCCCGCCCAAAGCCTATTCCAAACCCTGGTAAGTACTGAAGTTACCCTAATTTCTCCCAAACTCCAACCAATATGGAAATAAATAAAAACAGAAATCTTTTTCTTTTGATATCATTCTGGAGGAAACCTGGAACAGAGTGTACCTAATCTGTTAACTCCATGTGTGTGGATAGAGGGAAGGGCAGGACAAGAGACAAAGGGCTCTGAAGATGTTCAGAACTACTAATGAACACTGAGGTTTTGGGGGTGAGTACTGTCACTTTGTCATTATTTTGCAAACAAAGATCTGAATAGTCAAAGCTATGGTTTTTCCAGTATTCATGTACGGATGTGAGAGTTGGACCATAAAGAAGGCTGAGTGCCAAAGAACTGATGCTTTTGAACTGTGGTGCTGGAGAAGACTCTTGAGAGTCCCTTGGACTGCAAGGAGATCAAGCCAGTAAATCCTAAAGGAAATCAACCCTGAATACTCATTGGAAGGACTGATGCTAAAGCTGAAACTCCAATACTTTGACCACCTGATGCAAAGAGCCGACTCATTGGAAAAGACCCTGATGCTGGGAAAGATGGAAGGCGGGAGAAAGGGACAATAGAGGATGAGATGGTTGGATGGCACCACCGACTCAATGCACATGAGCTTGAGTAAGCTCCAGGAGTTGGTGAAGGACAGGGAAGCTTTGCGTGCTGTGGTCCATGGGGTCACAAAGAGTTGGACACAACCGAGTGACTGAACAAGTGTCACTTAACAGGGGCTTCCCAGGTGGTGCAGAGGAAAAGAACCCACCTGCCAGTGCAGGAGATAGAAGAGACGCGGGTTAGATCTCTCGGTAGGGAAGATCCCCTGCAGTAGGAAATGGCGACCCACTGCAGTATTCTTGCCTGGAGAATCCCATGGACAGAGAAGAATGGTGGGCTGCAGTCTATGGGCTCTCGAAGAGTTGGACATGACTGAGTACCTACATACTGTCACTAACACTCCTGTCCCAAGCTTCCACCTTAAATGTTCCCAATTCTGGAGGAGGAAGGGAGATAAAATCTACTCTCAATGTGGGACCCACAGGAAATTTCTGCTTTTAGAGAGTCAGAGGCTCACTGTGCTGGGAGGCTTTTGGGGGACAATCATCCATCTTTCCTGGTGTGGTAAATGAGGAAATCTCTCCTAATTTAGAGGCTGACAAGCGCTACTCTGCACGGCAGCTAAGAAATAGGCACTGAGCGGTACTTCTGCTTGTTCCAATTAGTAACACCTCACCCTTCTCAATAATACTGTGAAAGACTCTTAGGGCAAGTTGTCAGGAAAGTAAGAAGTATCGACTGAAAACTGAACTAACTGGGTAATGCTTAAAATAAGCACAGCTAGAGTAAACAATAAAAAGATAATCCAAAAATATTTACTACCCAAGAAACCAGCTGGGGAGAAGAACATTATCCAATTCTTTTAAACCTTTGATACACACTCTATTCTTCATATGTCATTACTTTGGTTGTTCTGGGGTTTCTTTGCAAATTCTTCACATTCTTATAAAATTCTAAAAGAAACATTATTAATACTTAATGTATTTGAAATACCAAATCACATTCATAAAAAAATCAAGTTATCTACCTACCAAAAAGTAGATAGGAGACTGGAAAAAAAAAAGTTTATTTTCTAATTTATGGTGGGAAGGCATTCTCACAATTATCGACATCTCCAACATCTCCAACATCTCCAACAAGTAATCATATCTTAATCCAGTGGACTCAGTCTAAATTTGACAAGTATCAGGTGATCATTAACCAAGCTGTTCTCATTTTTCACACAATAGGAAGAAATAGATTTATATTAGACAAAGGATATTAGGTCACATAGTTTTAACTTAATAGCATTAGATGGACTAACCAGTGAAAGTTACAGTATTTTTCTCCTTTAAGGGAAAAAGAACCACATATTTAGTATGCAAGTCTGAGCCAGGGTAATACCAGACTGAAGAGGCACTTTATAGACATTCCTTTATTTCATCCTTGACACCTGTGATCAACATAACCCTGAGATCATGAATAAAGACACAGGATCAGAGAAGTTAGGACCCTTCTCCTATACTCAGGTAACCGCTAAGAAGCAAGGCCGAGAAGCAAGCTGACGTTGTTCTGACCAGAAACACCATTTTTCCGCCAACAGCACATGTTGCCTCTTAGTGATGCTGGTCTTTAATAGACAAGATGAGGTAGACGAAACCTTCCCACTCCTCGATTCTGCTTACTACTACTAAATTGAGTCATAAACACTGCAAATGTTTTATCAGTACACTGAGTTCCTTTCCTAAGTTGACACTGATCACTCCATTCTTCAAATTCATCACTGTATGCACTGCTTATCTTGGCACTCAATCATCCTCCATCTTAAACATGTAAAATACATGTGTATCTTATTTAGGCAAACAATGGGTAGAAATGCTTTTCACGCTTCTAGGCACTTCCAGTGTCCCAGCACCAACTGTGGATTTGATGTACTATTTATCTCTGCATTCCCAGAGCTTAGTAGTATGTTACAGAGCATACAGGGCATACGGTCAATATACATTCGTTTAAAGCAGCAGAATGAAGGTGTGACGATAAAGAATTATAATAGACCTTTTCTACCAAGCCTTGCAGATGGAGTGACATTCATGTTTAACTATAGTCCCTATAAGCGTTTGGGGTTTCCCAGCCGTCTCAGCGGTAAAGAATCCACTTGCCAATGAAGGAGATGGTGGTTCGATCCCTGGGTTGGGAAGATCCCCTGGAGAAGGAAATTGCAATCCACTCCACATTCTTGCCTGGAGAATCCCATGGACAGAGGAGCCTGGCGGGCTACAGTCCATAGGTTCGCAAACCGCGTCTGAGCACACACAGATCTTTACTTTTTGAATTTTTGAATTTTATCAATCATCTTACAAAGGGATAGTTAAAAAAAAAAAAAACCCTAAAATGAGTAGCGTGAAGCACCTGGCAGAGCAAGATTCGGGGCGCTGGTACCGAGGCAATTAACGCCAATGTCCTGCAGCATTACAAAGTTTTACATCCCTGTTTCTTACGTGCAACGTTTCCTAGACTACAGCAGTTATGACTAGGGTGCGAGCCGTAGGATGAAACGCTTTTTTAGTTCACTCTGAAAGGGAAAAGCTCTCTGATAAAAAGGAACCATTTTTATATTTAAATAAGCCAGAAACAGCATTCCAGAGAAACAAGACCAAACCGGCTTTCTTGTGACTCGACTTCCCCACGGCCACCTCAGAGCGTCCTTCTGCACAAGTCTGACCGGAGCGTCAAGCAGTGAAGCATTCAACTAGCCCCTCAAAGGAGCCATTCAGAATCAACAGCTGCTTCGTAAACGGCAAGAGGGGTGGATGGGAAGCGCCGCCAGGACACCCGAGAGCGCGGGGCGCCGACACTCGTTTCTCCCGACGCCCCTGCCCGGAGTGCAGCCCGGGGGAGACCCACGGAGTCCGAGTTCGGTCCCCGGGCGGGTCTGAGGAAGCTCGGCCGCGACCCGGACGGCCCCACACATTGCCCCGCCGCACCTGCAAGTCCCGCGCGCTTGGGGGCCGCGGCCCCGCCGCCCTCGGCTCCTCCTCGCCCGCCTCTCCGCCGCCGCCCTCCGCCATCTTTCACCGCTCCTAGCACCGCCGCCGACGCGCCTCCCGCGACTTCCGGGGCCGGTTGCCTGGCAACGGCGGGGCGGGGCGGTCCCTGTGCGCCCCCACCTCCCCCGCCCCCGCGCGCCCCTCTTCCGGCGCCCGCCCACCTGTCCGGTCCCTCTCCTTTCCTTAAAGGAAGTTGGCTCAGAGTTTCACTTCCGAGAAGTTTTTGCATAAACTCGGAGGTTCCAGGGATGGTGACCCCCCCCCCTCCTCCAGGAGGGCAGCACGGACTTGCGAATTTCTTTACCCCATGGTGACAATGTCTTCTGGAGAATTCATCTGATGGAAAGTGCCACCTTACTTTTCCAATCTCGGTTATATTCTCTCGTTTCCCTGCCAAGAATTGAATGGTGCGTCGTCCCCAAAGCGTGAAGTGTCGAGGAAGAACCCCGTAAACTCTCTTTGCGATTAGAGCTGCTGCTGCTGCTGAGTCGCTTCAGTCGTGTCCGACCCTGTGCGACCGCATAGACCGCAGCCCACCAGGCTCCCCCGTCCCTGGGATTCTCCAGGCAAGAACACTGGAGTGGGTTGCCATTTCCTTCTCCAATGCATGAGAGTGAAAAGTGACAGTGAAGTCGCTCAGTCAAGTCCGACTCGTAGCGACCCCATGGACTGCAGCCCACCAGGCTCCTCCGTCGATGGGATTTTCCAGGCAAGAGTACTGGAGTGGGGTGCCATTGCCTCCTCCAGCGATTAGAGCTAGAGACTCCTAAATTCTCTTCATTCATCTGAGATTTGTTCAGACTCCTGTCTTATCCCAGGTTTTTTTTATGACCCCGGACGCAAAGGTAAAAAGAAAGTAGTCCTGGTCTTTATAAACCTCATAGTCTAGCGGAGGAAAAGAGATATAAACAGAGTAAATGCCATTTGCAGTAGGACTTCGCAGGAAATGTTAGGAGTGGAATATGGGTGTGAAGGGAAATATTCTGTTGGCACCTGCTACGTGCACCATGCTGGGTGCGTTCTTTGTGTTCTCCTGTCGACCGCTGTAGGAGGTGAGTATTGTTATTCCGTGTTATACCCGAGGAAAACTGATGACAAGTAACCACTAAATTCACCCTGTTGTGAATGGTGGTAGCGGATACCAAACCTTGCATTTGCTGGTTATCCCAATGTTCTTTTTAGTACAATATTTGTTGTTCAGCCGCTCTGTCGTGTCGCACTCTTCAACCCCATGGACTGCAGCACGCCAGGCTTACCTGTCCTTGACCGTCTCCAGGAGTTTGCTCAAACTCGTGTCCGTTGAGTCGGTGATGCCATCCAACCATCTCGTCCAACATCTTGTCCAATTAGTACAACCATCTTGTTCAATCAGTACAACATTCTGCTCTAGAAATCCCTGGATCTTGCTTATATCCCATAAAACCAATGGCATTTTGTCCCAGTCTTGGAGGATAAGTACTCCTGATAAACTTTGAACCTAAAGGGACCACAGGGAAAGGCATGGGTTTGAAATACCATGTTCATGCTGGTAGAATACCACATGGCTGAACCTTAGGAGAAGTGATAAAAAATGGTTGGGGTTGGGGCGCGTGATTGCCATCTAGCCTGGAGATGCAGGACAGGTGCTGAGGGGTCTTGCCTTAGTGAAGAGATCAAATATTATGCCCTGGGCCAATGATTCTCAAGGCTCATGCACAAAGAACTCCCCTCCCATTCCCAATGCAGGAACTCAGATTTAATTAGTATGGGATTCCAGTCAGGCATATTTTTTAAGATGCTCCCCATGTGGACTTTGTTTCTGGCCATGACAGTGTTCCTGATACTGGATTTGCCTTCCCCACCCAACAATGAAAACACTAGACAAAATATATGAAACGATTATTTTCAGACACTGAACCACAGGCAGTACAGATCTGTGCTGTGCCAGAGAAGGGAAACAAGTGAGATGAGCTATGTTTGTCCTGGCTTTCTGCCTGGAACTCTCCTACAATGCTGGTGAAAATGGAGAATGGTGCAGCTACTTTGCAAAATAGTTTCTTCTAAAGTTAAATATTCAGTTATCTTAAGACCCAGATTTGACACTCCCAAGTATTGACCCAAGAGGAATGAAAGCATATGTTGACAAAAATATTTGTACCCAAATGTTCATAGAAGCTTTACTCATAATAGTTGCAAAGTGGAAACTATCCAAGTGTCCATCAACAAATGAATGAATAACATTTTGAGAAATTTCATAGCACAGACTACTACTCAACAGTAAAAAGGAAGAAATTACTGATTAATGCACCATGACTGAATCTCAATGCCATGATCTTGAGTAAAAGAAGTCAGATGCAAAAAAGTAAATATTGTCTGATTCAATGTGTATGAGATTCTAGAGCAGGCAAAACTTATCTTTATTGACGGAAAGCTGGCAGTAAATTGCTTGGGGTCAACTCTTTGGGAAATGATAAACATGGGGAATTTGACCGACAAAGGATATATGGGAACTATTTGAGGTGATGAAAATGTTTTATATCTTTATTGGTAGTGATAGTTACATATATGTGTGTGTTTTTGTCAAAAACATATTGAACTATATACTTAAAATGAGTGTACCTTATTATATGTAAATCATACATTTATACAATTGGTTGAACCCCCACCCCAGATAATTCTGTTGCACAGCCATGGTTGAGAACCACTGGTCTAAGGCAATTGGGAGCCATTAAGTGATTTGTGATTTAAAAAGATAACAGAAGCCTCAGTTGAATAAGAATGAAGATGAATAAGAGTGAATAAGAATTCATTATGATTTCTTAATTCTTAATGAATGAATTCATCTTGCTCCTAAGATGAATAAAAATCACAAAATTAGCATGTTATTACAACAGTGAGGGATGAGCAGGATTAAAGAACTTTTTTTTTGGCTGTGTGGCTTGTGTGATCTTAGTTCCCTGATCAGGGATCGAACCTGGGCCCAAGGCAGTGAGGGGATTCCCAAGTTTAAAGTTTTATCAGTGGCAGTGGGTAAAGAGAGAAGCAATAATTGGTAGAGATTTTGGGTTTGGGACCTGAGCCAATTGGTGCTGGAGTCTTTCATGGGAAATATAGGAAAGAAGGACACACTGTGGCTTTGTTTTGCTTTGTTTTCTTCCAGTTTTATTGAGATATGACTGAAACCTAGTGCTGTGTAACTTTAAGGGGTATACAAAATGATTTGACTTACATACATCATGGAATGTTTACCCCAGTAGGTTTAGTGAATATCTATCAAATTGCATAAATATAAAATGGAAAAGGTCACTTTGGAGCTCATCAGCTTAAATCATCCTGCCTTAATTTATGTAATAGGTGGCTGTATGTAAACCTCACGGTACCTAAAATTTGTAATAGATACACACACACCCACACACACAAAGAGGGAGGACTCCAAACATCACACTATACATAGTCATAAAATTACAAAGAAAGAGTGTTACAGACATTTTGAATGTGAAACTTTTGTGGGACATGGGGAAAATACCTCATGGAGTAACTGCAAATGTGGGTCTAGATACTAGGAGGCGAGGAGAGGATTCTGGTCTAAAGATAGAGAATTGGTGTTGACTGCCCATGAGTGATAACAGGGTAGGTGAGGCTTTTGGAAAAGTGTGAGATGTGATAAGATTCGAGAACCAAGAATACTCGGAAAAAAAACAACCCTGAAAGTCTCAGTGGGTAAAAGGAGAATATTCAGAGGAGACGCTGGAAGTAGTTGGAGAAGAAGGATGAAGACAAGAGGCTGGACAGACTAGTGAGAACGCAGTTTCAAGGAGACCAACAGTGCCATTTCCTACAGATAGTCAAGATTAGGATCGGAGCAGTTCCTTGGTGGGCTGGTGTTTAGGATTTGGCACTCTCACTGCCTTGTCCCAAATTCAATCCTGGATCGGGTAATTAAGATACCACGAGTCTCTCAGTAAGGCAAAAAAAAAAAAAAAAAAAGAATTGGAATGTGTCCACTGGATTAAGAGAAGAGGTTTCAGTACCAAGGTCACTATGAATTTCGTAGAGAAGAAAACCCACATTTTAGCAGTTTGAGAATGACAGCCGGGACACTGAAGCTGTGTTTTCGAGGTGCAGGAGGTGGCTTATCCTGGCTCAGGAGAGCCTGTGGTTAATTTTTCAGGAATTTTAAAAGCAGTTGTTAAACACAGCCATTATTAAAAATTAAGGGCAAAGGGGAAGGGATAAATCAGGAGTATGGGAACTAACAGATACTGTCGCCTGCCAGGCTCATCTGTCCATGGGATTTCTCAGACAACAATATTGGAGTGGGTTCCCTTCTCCAGGGAATCTTCCGATCCAGGGATTGAACCTGCTTCTCTTGTGTCTCCTGCATGGGCAGATAGATTCTTTACCACTAGCACCACGTGGAAAGCTCACAGAAGCCCCAGATATGCACTGGCATATATAAAGTAGATAAACAATAGGAATTTTACAATATATCATAGGGAACCATATTCAATATCTTGTAATAATCTGTAATGGAAAAGACTAGAAAAAAGACACATAAATGTATATATGTATAACTGAATCACTTTGCTGTACACCAGAAACTAACACAACCTTGTAAATCAATGATGCTTCAATGAAAAAAGTAAAAAAAAGAAGTAAATTACATAAACTTAATGAAATCATATTAAAAACCAATGCAATCAATACTCAAGAGATTATTTCCAAATTATTTAAATACACTTTATTATTATCCATACATCTGTTGTATTTACATGATGAAATACCATATAATGGTCTGCTGTGGTGACAGCATGTTGGTAGCTTGAAACTCACCAAGGTGGGAGTATTTACATCTCAGAAGTTGACAAATGCTGCACATCAGACATTGATTAATTGTTTTGTTCATTGTTTAAATTTAAGAATATAGTGGAGAAAATGTTTACAAGGCAGTTAAGACGTAAAATGTGCTGTGTCTGTAACTGTGAATAGCACAGTATGTAAAAAAAAAAAAGAGAGACATTCTTTCAGCATGTGACCAGCTA